TTTATAATATTTATAATAAATGTTTATGATCTGAGGCCACAAAAATATTTACAAAATATTTAAAATAAGCCTTATAAATATTTATAAATATTTTGTAAACATTTTCTAAATATTTTTTGCTGTCTGGAAGGATGGGTTATCGAACGTTAGTGTCTCAAATATCTCTGTTGCTTTAAACGTTAGAACCGCCAATGATGTCAATTTATGCGTCACTGATTATTTTCATTTTTTAAAATTAAATATGCAGTATAGAATATTGAAAAGATGTGAATATAATAAAAATAATTTTAATGACGTAAATAAAATTAAGATAAATCTTCATTTAATTTGCATTTTTCTAATCGAAAACGAGGATAGGAAATAACTAAATGGTACCTTCGACTTATAGCGGGATACCATCGATGGTCCCCCGTTAAAAATACACGAGAACTTGACCATACAGAATTCTCAAGGACATATCCTTCGTACATCCCACTTGTCCTAAAGAACTTTCGCATATCTTCAAGAATAGAGGTACTTCAAGTACAAACGTTAAATGACGCCATTGTAAGAGTTTTGCTTTCTTTTGAGCCGGAATAAAGGATAACTTATAAGGTATAATTTTATGCTGACACTCGACATTCGTTTTTATCAAAATAGGTCACGTGGTCAAAATTGATGAATATCAAGTGTCAATTTTCACGTGATCTGTTCAACGTTAAAAATGAGCGTTAGCATGAAAAGGTACCTTAAAAGGAAAACGACTGTGGGAAAAAAATCATCTGGAAATACACACACACACACATGTACCAATGACACAACAATTCGCTTTATGTAACGAAGCACGCTTCTCTCTTCTCTTCTATTCTCTTCTCTTCTATCTTTCCGTCTCTATACATAACCGAATCACCTGTTTCGCATTGTCAATGCGCCAATTAACATGCCTCGCGTGCAGAGCACACAACGCGCGCATTATCGTTTCCCGGAACATTATCAATCGATATCTGTCGAGCGAGTGAACGGATTTCTTGCGAATTCCTTTTTCGCGACCGTTTTATAGCAAAAGTTATCTTAAACCTTTCACTGCAAGTTGCACTTTTCAATTTTAATAACAACAATGAGAGCACAGACAGAAAGTGACACAATATTTAACACAATGCTTTTTAACGATACAATACGACTCATATGTATACCTCAGACAGAATGCAATATTTATAAAACATTTACAAAATATTTGTAAGGCTTATTTTAAATATCTTGTAAATATTTTTGTGGTCTCAGATTGAGTGTAAATCATAAATATTTATTATAAATATTATGAAATATATTTATAATAAATCTTTATGTACTAATTAAATATTTACTTAATCTATTGTAAATCTTGTAGTAAATGCTATGGAAATACTTAATAAGACATTATAATTACAATAAAAAACACTTACTATAGAAATATTTATTTACATTTATCATAAATATTATATTAAATATTTAGTCTATTTTTTAATAATATTTCGAATAAAACTTTATATAAAATATGTATAAAATATTTATATAATGTTTCAAAAAATGAATAATAATAAATTTTATCCTAAATATTCTATATGCTGTCTGAGACACTA